GTTCTTGTATTCGTCACATGACTTGTACTTATTCTGCAAACTATGCTCCTACGACAGCCTGCTGCGGCGCAGCGTGGCTGAGTCAAGCAGTCATAACTCCGGCGAATTCTGCATTCATAAGACCAGCCAAGCACTGGAACCAGCCAGTTCGTCTCTCTGCGTTTACCACAGGTGACAGTTAGGGGCGTTCTCGCCAGATCGTTACTCCCACCCAGGTCTGATTGACTGGTGCGTACCAGTGGTGGATCGCGCACGCAACGCCTTTGCTACTATTTCTCATCTACCCCTATCCTCGTGATGATCTGGTCCTGCTATTGTAGTGATTCGCTATTTTCACTATCTTAGCCGCTAGTATTTGCCGCCGCACACTTATTCTCTTGATCTGAACGCGATCTTGTACCGCATCTCGAAATAGGTCTACTTCTATTCCTCAGATAAGATTTAGATGCATTTACTGCTGGTGATCTTGTCTCGGGTGTCGTACAAGCAAACATTCGTTGATGTGTACAGCCGGTGACCGATCTCATGACATATTATTCGAAATTAAGGAATGCGTTTTCGGTTGGGAAGGATTACCTTAGTGCGGTTTTTACGTTGATTATCTTCCGGCATAATCCCAAGATTTGGTAGATACCGGCCACATTCATTATAGGTTTGCGCAAATCGCTCAGTAATTTCTCGCTCAGATGAGTCGGAGTCGTGACTGTTTGGGTCTTATCTAAGTTGCGTACTTTCATATTCCCCTGTTCTAACGATTTACTGTGAAATTCACATGAAATAAGAGGCAGGGACATCGACTGTTCTACCAAAATTATCCTAATATTAGGCACCGTAAACACTGCAAATAAACCTATCTTGCATTTATGTGGGATTAAATTTTCAAGGCTGATATGTAGCTACAACCTTCCTAATATTGATGTGCTTCAGATAGCTGATTGATAGTTTCCAAAAGTGTTGCAATGGAATTATGGATTAATTTCTTTGAAGTAGCGCAGCATGCTAAATAGAAATGATAACTGTTTGAGAGGATGAATTCGAGTCTGGTTTTGGTTGAGAACGTGGTGTCTGTCTAACGGAATATTTGTATAATAGATTAGTCCAGATACATATAACACAGCCAATTACACGAACTGTACTCTAACTGGATAAAAGAATACTTACTGAAAGTCCGTCTCGAAAGAGAAGTCTCTGTGTTATTACCAACAAATACAAGTTAGACCTGAATGGCCATTTCTGGCTTATTAACCGTCGTCAACCAATCACACAGAACCCCGAGTTCGAGCCTCGGGTGTTCCACATATGGGTGCTTTTTCCACACATGATATTTACCATATTTACAGTGGGGCCGAACAAGGCTGCCGTAAACTCTCCCAAAAAGGCCTTCTTCAAAGGTAACTTACACTCTTTTAATTGGAAGAAGGAGATAAAGCGTTCTCTGGGGAGGAAGATTTAATCGTCTGACGTTTCATACTCGTACTCGAGCACATCATCGGAGACAGGCCAAATGAGAAATACATGGTTTAAATAGGCCATTCGTGCCCGCGCCTGATAGGTCGATCCCGCTCTCCTCTTATTGGTTCTCCTCTCGCGCGCAAGTGGTGCCTGATGGCCTCGTATGGCGCTGGCAGGTCAATACTGCGGTTAATCGAGTTGGCGTCTGATTGCCAGGCTTCGATTACTTCTCTCGCCAGCTTGCTTTCGGCTCGGCCGAGCACTTGGGCACCGTCAAAGTCGAACACGTGATTATTTTCTAGACAGTGCATGGCGACGTGCGAGCGTACATCCTTTCGCTTTACGGCTAAGGCGTGCCCATGCACGCGCGTGCGCAGACGTTTGTCCGTCATGCCGCAGTAGTTGGCCAGACAGTCGAGACATTTGACGCGGTAAATGACGCCTGACGTGTCTGCAGGTGGTAGCCGGCCCTTGGGTTGCATGAGTAAGCGGCGGATGGTAGCCTCCGGTCGGTGTCCAACGCCCACGCTTAGTGGCCTTAGCATGCGCTCAGTGGCTTCGGAGACGTTTCTCACGTAAGGCAGAACGCGGAAGGTTGCAGGCCTTTGCGTGTTCTCACGGTCGGCCCTCGTATGTCTTTGGTATAAGCATTTGTTTACGAAACTGCGCGGATATCCATTGGCAAGGAAGAGGTGCCATAGGGTTTCACGCTCCCGCAGCTTTTCGGCTTCTGTGCTGCAGTGTGTGTTGATGCGACGAAAAAGCGTCCGGACGCAGCTGCGTTTATGCGACGGGGGATGGTTACTGTTGTAGTGGAGAATTTTCTCCGTTTTAATTGCATGCATCACTCCGATGGCAGCTTTTGCAGCCTTGTGGCACTGCAGTGTTGGTTTCAGGTTTTTTCTGCATACAAACCCCGAGATCCTTCTGTGAAGATTCTGCGGGAAGTCTTATATCTTTCAGGTGATATGTCCGCAGGCTCTCATTTGAATGAGACTTGGTTGGACGCAGATGAACGACAGCGCACTTCTGCACATTGAAGTCCAGAAGCCATTTCTCCGACCACGCTTGCAGTCGATGAAGATTGCTTTGGAGGGTTGTCTGGTCGTAAGGACTCTTGATGAATTGCCAGAGCTTAACGTCGTCAGCAAACATTATTTTGCCACACTCGAGTTCCTGAAGGCTGTCATTAACATAAAGGAGGAAGAGCAATGGTCGCAGAACTGAGCCTTGAGGCACACCACTGCTCACGTTCACCCATTTTGACATATCATCGCCGATACAAACACGTCGTTTTCGACCCACCAGAAACGCCCCTATCCAGTTCAGAAGATCTCCCCGGATGCCGATGGCGCTCAATTTGTGAAGAAGGCGTTGGTACGGAACAGTATCGAAGGCTTTGCTAACATCGATGTACATGACATCAACCCCAAAACCCTCTTCTATGGCCCTGGGCCAGATCTCCAGACAAGCTAGCAGATTTGAGAGGCAGGTACGTCCTCTCCGGTGGCCATGCTGAAAATCCTGCAAGATGTTATTTTCTGCACAAAATTGCAGTATGACAATCTTTACTAGAGCTTTCATCGGTTTGCATGAGAGGCAGGTTAAACTAATAGGCCTGAAACTGGTTGCTGCCATCCTGCTACCACCTTTATGTAAAAGAACGAGGTTAGCTGTCTTCCATTGTGATGACAGCCTTCCTGTTCTCATTGACAGCGCAAAAAACGTCGAAAGAGGCTTCGACAGCTCCGTTGACAGTTCCTTAAGTATCAGCCCAAGAATTTCATCAGGTACAGGAGACTTATCTGGTGAAAACCGATTGAAAAAACTGAGACAATAATTTCACTTTCTGTGGCCCTTCGACTAACAAATTTCCGAGGCTATCCTTAAGACACGCATATTCGTCCCTATGTTTTCTTCTACTGCGGATGTACCCGCAAAACTTCTTGGGACATGTAGTGGATCCTGCTAACAGCCGATGCTCGAAAGAAGTTCTAGCAATCCGTATTTGTCTGCGGCATTTATTTCGCTGATCCTTATATTCGGCAAATGACACTGGATCTCGAAGTCGCAGATACTTTTCCACAGCCTCTTTTTATTCTTCATAGCCTTTTTGTCGTCGAATAGACCCACGGCGGTCGCCCACAGGGTCTTGGTATTTTTATTGGGCAATAGGAGTCAGTTAGACGCTCTATAATCCCGCGAAAGTACTGCCAGAATTCTTCTGAATATTCCATGTTGATTAACGAGGTTTCCTCCAAAAGAGAACGTCTCATTGCGTTAAAATCACCCTTGCACATATTTCTGCGACTCTTCATTTTTGATTGTTGGTTCAATAGGAGAGAGCACACGCAGGTAAAAGCAATATGATCGCTTAAACCGAGTGGAGGTTGGGGATTCACTTCTCTTATGACTCCTTTTTCTTCACTGAAATCGAGGTGTTAACAATTAGATCGTTGTCTGCCTCTTAGTCTTGTTCCAAATTTTATGTGTTGAATGACGTATTTATCAAAGGAGAGTTGTAGTAGCTTGTGGTCAAATGACGTGGAAGGGGCGTTTGTTAAGGGAACTTTCCAGTCTATTCCCGGAGCGTTAAAGTTAGCCAGAAGTAGTAAGTTTTCCTGCTAACATAACAACTCTAGTTTACTAGGTAATCCCAGATCGGCGATTTCATTCGATCTGGGAGGCCAATAGACGACACACAGGTTAAGTGTCGGTAATTTTTTGACATGAAATAATTTCAAAATTTCGCGGCGCCCCATCAGATATTTCTCGCTGACAGCAAGGAATCTCATTTGACACATAAATCGGTGTGCCTCTTCCTCTTCGTTGAAATCTGTCACAACGGAACAGTTGGTAGCCTTCAATACTGACTTCGCTACTACTTATTTACTCAGATAACCATGTCTCAGTTAAGAATATTATGTGAGGTTTCTGTTCAGAGACTAGTAATCTGAGTTCATCTAGGTTGTTGAGGAGGCTTTAACAGTTAGTGTAATAGAGTTCTAGGCAACGACTACTGGTGCCCTCAGCCTCAGGAGTTGGTAATTTTGCGCAGGTTAGGCTGTCAGAATGACGCCTTCGGCCAGAGAGATGTTCTCTTGACCTGAATTATTTGTGCGTTCTTGATTTGTAGGTGGGTTTCGCCGCTGCTTCTCCGCTTTTCCAGCTCCGTCAGCAGCTCACACATTTCCGTTCGCTCCGTTGGCTCGTAGTCCGGCTGAAAAAACACATCAGGATGCTGACTCCGCAGAGATGATTTTCTCGGTAACAGGAGCTGTGCCTTTGCGTCAGTCTCCAAAATAACTTCTAGGCGCCGAGGCCGGGAAGTTGAACTGGACGCTGATTGAATCTCACCTATTCGGAATGCTTTGAGAACATTAAGTGATTCGCCGTCTCTTAATCAAGCTTTCGCATACACTTGAAGATGGTCTAAATCATGCTAACTCTCTCCCTTGGAATTGTTGCCGTTGATTCGGGTACTCCTTTTATAACGCCGTTTTGCTTGCGACTGAATCTAGCACTCGTTGTTGTCGCAAATCTTTTGAAAGACTGAGCGTTCTCTTCCAGTCGAACTGTTTCGCTGGCTCCGGATGAACTAGCTATTGGGGTAGCGAAGCTCAGATCCGTGTACGATTCATTTATCTTCGTGTTGATAACACTACCTTCTGTGTTGTCGTCTTGGTCGTCGAAAAAGCTAGCCTCAGTTTCTTCTGAAGCCTCCTCTTGAATATTCTGTCTTGGTTTCGGCCCACAAGGTGTTCCAATATCTTTATTGTTCAACATAGTTGAGGGCTACCGGCTGTCCTTTGAAGTATCGGGCACAGACGCAGGCAGGTCCTTTATGACAATGCATTTATTGCGATCAAATAGAGGGCCTTGTGGTTAAACCATGCCAGCAGAGACTTCATCGCGGATATCCCAACTACCGTCATCCACCGATTGAGGAAGGTTTGATTCGGTAGGACTAAACATGACTGCCTGTTTACTACCATCTTTTATTCATTAGTGATTTTCAGCGGAATGATTTTTACTTGCTGTGTAGCCATCTCTTGCTCCCTTGTCTGACTCTCCATGCCTTTCCGAGGTGCTCTGAGACATCTTTTAGTTAGCTGAGATCGCGTCTGGCAACCATTTTCTCGCGCAAGACACTGTTTGAAGGAGTCCGAAACATATCGTATTTCAACCGGGCCAACAATATGAAGCAAATAGTAAACGACACAGCCGTTCTTGGCACTGGAAAGTCTGGCGTAGCTATTAGCAGAGGAATGATACTAAGGAAAAAGGGTGTCACGAAAAAAGTTCTGTCAAAGTTCCGTGTAGATCGTTCGAGGAATTGCTGATTACGCTTCAATTTCTTAATCCAAATGGGCCTGCATAGCGTCCAGTAAACAGAAATCCCGAAAAAGTCAAATCCCTCGGATGTCGAAAATTTCAAACCGAATTTAAAAGACGCGCTCATGGTGGAGCTATGAACACGTGTAAGAGCTATGAACACGTGTCTGGAGCTTGACACACGGGATAATAATAATAATAACAATGATAATAATAAGCACATCTGTCCGGCCAGCAGTGAAAAAAACTCCTGATTAAAAGGAATGAAAATAAAGTTGATGGTGGTTTTTAAGGTTTGCAGGGTTCAGGAAAAAAACTGCTGACCACAAGCTCTCGACCATCAAGAAGATAGGGGTTGCACGATATCGGAGATTATCAGACGCCAATTTCTTTCATAAAGTTGGGGATAGTCAAAAAAGAGGCGCCGAAGAACAGCTGTCGCTGTTGGCCGAATAAATTGTCCCTGGTGAGACCGGCCATAGCGGTCAGAGACCACAAACGCCATCGCCACGGTACAGTCAATCAGTGGATTCAGCAGATGATCTTTGACGGAATATCTGAGCAACTGATTTGCAAGTATTCACGTAATTAATAACTTAGGACTCTCTACGCATTTCTCGCGCGAGCATCATTTTTGAGGCTAATTCAAATATGTCAACTATTCTAAGATGGGTTGATAATTAGCTCAGGGAAGGATATTTAAGTTGCTTCCGTAGCCTTGTAAGTCTGTTTTCAAGAAAGTGTGGGCCACCGATGGAATAAGCACTCAGTTCAAACATCTTCCGTGGAATAAGGTCGAGAAGATCTTCTGTTGCGCGTTGTAATAAATTGTAAAAGAAATTAAGATCATCGGCATACATAAACAATTGAGAATGTTTATCTGCCGCCGAGATATCATTTCTGTAAAGCAGGAACAAAAGAGGACCTAAAACGGTGCCTTATAGGACACCACTTAAAATAGGGCTTTCACTGAAAGGGAAGATCCCACTAAAACTTTTGTTTACGATCAGACAAGTATGACTTGATAAAGTCCATTAAGGAACTGCGAATTCCCAGAGCTTCTAATTTAACAAAGAACCTCCATGTGGCATTTTATCAAAGGCTTTACTAAGATCAAAATAAATAACGACAACAGACAGATGGTCATTACGAAGTGAAGTCAGTAGATTGAGAAACGACATATGACATGTTTCACAAGAGCGATCTGGTAAAAACAACCAGGCTGGGAAGTTCTAATAACGTGATTGGCTATGCAGAATTCGGTTATTTTTAAGGCGATAACTTTTTGAAAGATTTTGGCGAGAGTTGGTGTTTTATGGACACCTCGATAATTCTGAACGTCAGAACCACAGCCAGACTTAAGTATTGGAATAATAATAGAAGTTTTCCAATAGTCAGGGAAGAATCTCTAAGCTGCTTTATAAGTGAGTTTGGGATATTGTCCGTACCTACTGAGTGAGACTTAAGAAGATGGTTTATCAGTTTTGGAATACTTGCACGAGAAAAATTAATGATGCTGGGAGAAAAATCAGACAACGGAGGAATTAAAGGGATTGGGCCAGTTTCAATGGTAAAATGTTTGACAAAGAATAAATTTATAATTTCTGCTTTGACTGACTCCTCTGTAATGAAGGCATCGCTGGTACTTAGCAAAGGCGGAACGGCTTGGCGGGATTTAGCAGATGAGCTTTTACGGAAGATCTGATCAGTTTATTAAGAAGCATTCACGTCATTAATAGCTAAAGACTCTCTACGTCTATCTCGCGCGAGCCTCATTTTCGAAGCTAGTTCAGATATTTCAACGATTGTTAGATGAACTGATAATAAGCTCACAGAAGGATCTTTAAACTGCTTCCGTAGCTTTTTAAGTCTGTTTTTCAGAAAGTGTGGGACTGCGGTAGAATAAACACTCGATTTTTGAACATCTTCCGAGGAATAAGGTCAATAAGACCTTCTGTTACAAATTGTAATAAATTTTTGGAAGAAATTTAGTCATTATTGGAAAAAAATATTATGCCAATCAAGAGTGCATGTTAAGTTATTTACTAATTCCTTGCTAATATTAGCAAAGTCAAAAATACTACGTCGTACTGTTGGCTTAGCGGAAATGACGACTGGAAGGCGGCAATGGATTAATGCACGATCACTTGCAAAATGGTCATGAAAGAAATGCATAGATAGTGGAAAGGTGCCATTAGTAAAAATTTAGACCGAAAACTATCGTATCTGGTAGAAGAGTGGACTAATTG